ATCAATCTTCTTTAGTGAAGTCACTAGATGTTGAGGGGAAAGCCCTTAATATGGGGAGAAACATATAAATCTATTAAATCTTTTATGTGAACTCCTCTAATTAATCTATAAACTTAATCTATGATAATCCCAAATGCTTGTGACTAAGCTTCTGTTTTTTTATATATATACTTACCATATAAATCTCTCAGTATATCAAAGTATTTAAATGAGGATAATTTAAATACCACGCTAATCATCCCCTCCAGTGCAATCATGAGCATAGCACAGCACCTGCCTTCTTCCTTGTGGTGGGCTCTATTTGTCTTATATATCTGAAAGTGTTCCGGAATTATGTGCCTTAACAATATTTTCTTGATAAAAGAAGCTTCACACATATCCACTTAGTAAATTGGAAAAGCAATTGATTTAGGAATTTGTAAATTTATAATTCTCAGCCTTAGAAAAAAGAGTTTGGTGGAAGGCTTTTTGTATTAGATTAATAAAATGGCAAACAAAGTATAGCATAGCTTTAAAACACATAATTAAAGTGATTGAAGTCTAGTTAATGAGAAGTAAACTAAGAGTTTATGAATGACTTTTTGCTTTGTACATGCTTCCCTGGATTCAGCAGACTATGCTTTTAGCGCAGTCTTTGCTGCTACAACTCTTGGCAACTTATGAGTGTGATCGTGCCGTAAATTTCTTGTTTCGTTCATCGGTTCTTTACGAGAAACGATTTCTGAAGCTGTAAGATTGCGTAAACACCAATTTGAAATACTGTATATATGTCACGATTACCGCTCTGCAAAGGGAAGGAAAAAACCACGCACCTTTTCTTCCTCTTTCTCCATGTACTCGAGAAAAGCCTCAAATCGTTCGTCAGGTTCCTTGAAAAGCCATTTGTAATACGTCTCTCTGTCCTCAAAATTCTCCCGCACAACATCAGTCATACTTCGGCCGATGTGGAATGCCCAGCCATGGCGAGGAGCAGCAGCAGCGTGATCTTCCTGAGCATCTCCCAGTAATAGCTTGTCCACGCAATCCTGGAATGCCTTGATGCTACGCTCGTTTCTCGCCGACGTGAACAGCACCGTCCCAGCTCTCCCCAGCACACTCGTCGACGCCCCAGATGCGAGCGAATCCAAGAAGGTGAATGCCCACATTGTGTTGCTGCTGCTTACCATGGCCAAGATCCTGCGCACCAAGCTCTCCAACGCATGCTGCACGTCCACCACCACTCGCTCCACCTCCATTCTGCCCTAGCACACTCCACCAAGGAGCAAGCAATAGATAAGTTCGTACAAAAGTGTAAAATAGAAGCCGCTTAAACAAACAAAACCAGTGTTTATAATTGATCTAGGGCGCCACTGCCTCCATATAAGAGGGTTTCAAGATAGGGTTTCAGCTAGCCAAATGGACGAGGAATTGGCTAAGGTGGAAGCCCAAATCGGGCTTCTTGAGCCGCAGATCCAAGCGGCTGGGGAATCTTTTCTCTCTGCCCTTCAGAGTGGCAATCGATCTCTGGCAAAATATTGGCGGAAGAAGGAAGAGCAGCTGCGGAATGAGAAAGAGCGGCTGCGGAAGGAGGAAGAACAGCTGCGGGAGGATAAGCTCCTCCTCCTCAGAAGTAATGGTAAGTATTTAGCTTTCCCCCTCGATTTGCGGCGTTTTGCTGTGTAGAGGTAGCTTCAATTCGCTTTTATTTTGGGTTGCCGGAAGTGTGGCTATGGTGGCTTTTGGCTTTGCTGCTGGCGGACGCATACTCCCTTGTGGATCCTTGGTCATCCTTGTATGGCTATGGCTGTTGAGACCCTCGATTCTGGCCATGTTTTCTATTGATAATACTAACTTTGTTATGTTCTGAATGTTGCAGTGCCCCATGGAATCCGCCGATTTGGTAAGCAATTGTGAAAGCCCTTTGTTTCCTTGCATATCCCCCTTGTTTTCTCTTTGATCTGTGATGTTGAAAGTCCCATTTTTTGTCCAGTTCTTGGTATTCCTGGAGCGCCATGAAATCGGGCGCAAGGTCTTGCTTCTGATGGTGTCGCTGTTGGATTTGGTCTTGGGTGTTTGTGTCTGGCTTGTGGTTGTAATTGAATTCATGGCCATCTGCTTGGTATGTGGCCCCTTGCGTTCTATTAATGCTGCCTGTGTCTTCCTCGGCTTAGAGCTCTTCCCTCTGGGATGACTGTTTTGCCGTCGTTTGAAGTTTTCCACCCTCACACTAGAGTTTGCTCAGTTCTCCTCACAGAGCGGTATTTGCCTGCTTGTAGCAGTTCTTGTCTGATCCATGGATTCGTATCTTGCTTCAGGTGTACCAACTGGTGTGGCGGCCCTTGTAAGGGCTACTGATACTCCAGATTCTAAATTCTGGATTCTAGATAGCGATGATTATGGCCAACCTTTCCTGCTATGGAAACGAAAGGCGTATGCGAGTCTAGAATCAAAAATCCTGGAGCAGCTCAACAACTTCACTTCTTTCATCGTCCTAGGCACTGCAGGGATAGGGAAAACGTTCTTTGGCTACCACTGGATTATTAGGCTGGGTCAAATGGGGCATGAAAAGGTATTATACAAGGATGGGAAGTTTGTCTACATCCTGAATTTGCGAAGGCGGTGTGCTGAAGGTCGTTATGACGTGAGTGACCAAATTATATGCGAAATGCTGGACGATCCGTCAATGTGGCTAGTAATAGATGGGAAGCAGAAGGCGCCTTTACCTCGCAGATGTCGAGTTCTTTTGGTTCCCTCATCTAGGAAGAAAAATTACGGTAAGTTTGGCAAAGGGGGGCTTTGTTGCATGCTTTATATGTCGGTGTGGTCTAGGGAGGAGATTGGGAAATTCCTTGACGACTTTGAGCCTTACCGAACTAGTTACGGGAACATGAATGTGGTGGACAGAAAGGAAGGGTTTGACAACTTCGATTATTTGGGTGGAGTTCCTAGGTATGTACTGCGTGCAACAAAGCTGGATGAGGTGAAGGCCATGGCCAAGACTGCGGTTGTGTTGTTCGGAACAAGTGTATCCAGAGCGGGCACGGTTTTGTCAGGAGGGTACGTGGAAGACGTCAGCGACTGGATTCTCCACATTGTGGCAACTGAGGACCACAGCGAAAAGACATATCAGTTTGCAAGCGAGGCTTTGATGACAGAGCTTGCGAATCAGTATCTGCTTGCTGGACCTGTGCGTGTGGTGGAATTTCTGAGAGAAACATTCAGCTGCTCTTGGGTGGGGGCTTTGTGGGGGAGGCTTTATGAACCTCTTGTGCATAGGCTGCTGTTGAAGGGTGGTGATTTTGTTATCAAGCCAGTTTACGCTGATGGAAGCTCCGGTCCTGAGACTTCCCATCATATTGGACCTCATATCATGCTAGAGGCAAGTTCCGCTGGTGAGTTTCGAGGAAAGATAGGGATGGGCAAGTATGTGAAACCAACTTCTGAAGTCTTTCCGAGCATTGATTCTGCTATGGATAAAGACATTCTCATTCAGGTCTTCAAGAGAGTGGATGGAAAACACGGCTTTAAAGCGAGTGGCTTAGAAATGGTGGATGCTGCGTTGAAGAGATCAAGCTACAGGTTGTGGTCGTGTGTTCCAAAAGAGACGTTTCCAGGAACTGGATGGCAGCAATACAAGAATAATAAAGATGGAGTCTATGGGAAAAGAAATGCAGTATTTGGGAAGATGCGCCAGTTTGTTGTTCAAGTGGACTACGAGGATGCACAATGAAGCTTCTGTTTTTTTATATATATACTTACAATATAAATTTCTCAGTAAATCAAAGTTTTTAATACAATATGTTCGTTATTTTAATAATATATACTACTCATTTAAGTTATTTTTAAAACTGATGTTGATTTAGCATTTGGTAAAATATTCAAATGAATCCAAGTGTAACAACTTAAATTGAAGTATAACTGCTGACGAGGATAATTTAAATACCACGCTAATCACCCTCTCCAGCGCAATCATGAGCTTAGCACAGCACCTGCCTTCTTCCTTGTGGTGGGCGCTATTTGTCTTATATATCTAACAAGGAATTTGTAAAGGCTTTGCCATCAGCCTAATGCACTTTTTGTATTAGATTAGTAAAATGGCAAACAAAGTATAGCATTATTTTGATAAGCTTTAAAGCACATAATCAAAGTGTAGTTAATGAGAAGTAAACTAAGAGTTTATGAATGACTTTTTGCTTTGTACATGCTTCCCTGGATTCAGCAGACTATGTTTTTAGCGCAGTCTTTGCTGCTACAAGTCTTGGCAACTTGCGAGATGTGATCGTGCCGTAAATTTCTTGTTTCGTTCGTCGGTTCTTTACGAGAAACTATTTCTGAAGCTGTAAACACCAATTTGAAATACTATATATATGTCACGGTTACCGCTCTGCAAAGGGAAGGAAAAAACCACGCACCTTTTCTTCCTCTTTCTCCACGTACTCGAGAAAAGCCTCAAATCGTTCGTCAGGTTCCTTGAAAAGCCATTTGTAATACGTCTCTCTGTCCTCAAAATTCTCCCGTGCAACATCAGTCATACTTCGGCCGATGTGGATGGAGAGGAGCAGCAGCAGCATGATCTTCCTGAGCATCCCCCAGTAATAGCTTGTCCACACAATCCCGGAATGCCTTGATGCTACCCTCGTTTCTCGCCGACACGAACGGCGAACAGCACACTATTGCTTGGAGTATGCTAGGGCAGAATGGAGGTGGAGCGAATGGTGGTGGCGGTGGACGTGCGGCATTTGATCGGGCAAGTGCGCAGCTGTGGCTGTGATTTGAGAGCTTGGTGCGCAGGATCTTGGCCATGGTACGCAGCAGCAACACAATGTGGGCCTTCACCTTCTTGGATTCGCTCACGTCTGGGGCGTCGACGAGATAAGTTCGTACAAAGCTGTAAAATAGAAGCCGCTTAAACAAACTAAAGTATGGCTGAGTTTTCGCTTTTTGTCTCTTAATTGAGTTAGTGGTCTAAAACATCAGGCCGTCGGATGAAGATCGTGCGGTCCCTGACGATTCTAGGGCGCCACTGCCATACTTGATAGCAAAATGGACGAGGAATTGGCTAAGGTTCAGGCTGAAATCGCGCTTCTTGAGCCGCAGATCCAAGCGGCTGGGGAATCTTTTTTCTCTGCCCTTCAGAGTGGCAATCAATGTCTGGCGGAATATTGGCGGAATGAGGAAGAGCAGCTGCGGAAGGAGGAAGAACAGCTGCGGAAGGAGGAAGAACAGCTGCGGGAGGAAAAACTCCACCTCCTCAGAAGTAATGGTAAGTCATTCTTTGTGTATTTAGCTTTGCCCCTCGATTTGGGGCGTTTTGCTGTGTGTCGTGGGCTAGAGGTAGCTTCAATTCGCTTTTATTTTGGGTTGCCGGAAGTGTGGCTATGGTGGCTTTTAGCGGACGCATGCTCCCTTGTGGATCCTTGGTCATCCTTGTATGGCTATGGCTGTTGAGACCCTTGATTCTGGCCATGTTTTCTATTGATAATACTAACTTTGTTATGTTCTGAATGTTGCAGTGCCCCATGGAATCCGCCGATTTGGTAAGCAATTATGAAAGCCTTTTGTTTCCTTGCATATCCCCCTTGTTTTCTCTTTGATCTGTGATGTTGAAAGTCCCATTTTTTGTCCAGTTCTTGGTATTCCTGGTGCGCCATGAAATCGGGCGCAAGGTCTTGCTTCTGATGGCGTCGCTGTTGGATTTGGTCTTGGGTGCTTGTGTCTGGCTTGGGGTTGTAATTGAATTCATGGCCATGTGGCCCCTTGCGTTCTATTAATACTGTCTGTGTCTTCTTCGGCTTAGAGCTCTTCTGTCTGGGATGACTGTTTTGCAGTCGTTTGAAGTTTTCCTGCCTCACACTACTAGAGTTTGCTCAGTTCTCCTCACAGAGCGGTATCTGCCTGCTTGTAGCAGTTCTTGTCTGATCCGTGCATTCGTATCTTGCTTCAGGTGTACCAGCTGGTGTGGCGGCCCTTGTAAGGGCTACTGATACTCCAGATTCTAAATTCTGGATTCTAGATAGTGATGCACTGGGAGATTATCGCCAACCTTTCCTGCTATGGAAACGAGAGGCGTATGCGAGTCTAGAGTCCCAAATCCAGGACCGGCTTGACAACTTCACTTCTTTCATCGTCGTAGGTACTGGAGGGATAGGGAAAACGTTCTTTGGCTACCACTGGATGATTAGGCTGGGCCAAATGGGGCATGAAAAGGTGTTATACAAGGTTGGCAAGGTTGTTTACGTCCTGAATTTTCGAAGGCGGTGTGCTGAAGGTGCTTATCACGTGAATGACACAATTATATGCAAAATGCTGGACGATCGGTTGATGTGGCTAGTGATAGATGAGAAGCAGAAGACGCCTTTACCTGGCAGATGTCGAGTTCTTTTGGTTCCCTCATCTAGGGAGAAAAACTATGATGAGTTTGGCAAGGGGGGGCTTTGTTGCATGCTTTATATGTCGGTGTGGTCCAGGGAGGAGATTGGGAAATTCCTTGACGACTTTGAGCCTTACCGAGCTAGTTACGGAAGCATGAATGTGGTGGACAGAGAGAAAGCGCTTGACAACTTCGATTATTTGGGTGGAGTTCCTAGGTATCTACTGCGTGCAACTAAGCTGGATGAGAGGAAGGCCAGGGCCAAAGCTGCGGTTGGTTTGGATCAAGTGCATCCAAAGCGGCTACGGTTTTGTCAGGAGGGTATGTGAAAAAAGTCAGCGACTGCATTCTTGATTCTTGATGACAGAGCTTGGGAATCAGTATAAACATTCAGCTGCTCTTGGGAGGGGCCTTTGTTATGAGCGTCTTGTGCATAGGGTGCTGTTGAAGGGTGGTGATTTTGTTATCAAGCATGCAATATGTTCATTATTTTAATAATTATATACTAAAACTGATGTTTGATATTTATTATCATTAAATAGATAAATTAATAACGGTTGAAAAACAAAGATATTTGAGCAAAGATGTTGCATATTTACTAGTCGATTAATCGATTTAGCAATTGATACAATATTCAAATAAATCAAAGTGTAACAACTTAAATTGACCAAAGTATAACTGGATATATCACGCTAATCATCCTCTACAATTTGGGAAAGGAGGATACAGTTAATCAAGCTGCGAAAATCTATAAATGTTAAGTTCGATTTATCATTTTGTTAGGTTTCTTAGGTTTACCAAGATTTTTGCTTTGTTTCTTTAATCCGTTATAATAATGGTTTAATGTTAATTTTCTGCACGAATCCGTTTTTCCTCTTGCCTTCAATCTCACCTAAGCACGCTAGTTCTCAAAAACAGGAAGAACATTAAAAAGCTTTGACCCAGGCCCTGCTGAACAATGCTTTTATTTGTTTTCTTTTCTCTCCAGACGGTTATAAACACATCCAGTTTTGCAGACTCAAACTTTCAATTTTTTTGGTCTGTTTGTGAACATAAGAACTTCTGTGGAAGACCACAAAGGATTAACAACCACAACCAAAAGAGATCCCAATAGAAAAGGACTTCACCTCTTTTGTTTGGATTGTCAAGAACATCTCCAAGCATTTGGCGTGCTCCCTCAAAATGAGAAAAGAGGACTGTGACGGCGTCATCATCATTGCATTCATCATTGTCATCAGGGTGCCCAAGCTCCTCCTCCTTGTCCTCCATTGCCAATCCCTAAGATGTTCCTGTCAATGGATCGCTCTTAAGAAAGAGAACACTCCCCTGAGATGAAGTCAATTTATAGGCGAATCAGAAGGTTATTTCCTTAACCATTCTTAGAGAATACCTACCAAAAGAAGGGAGAAAGAAGCGCAAGTTAGAATTTGTGGAACCTGGTTTCCTATGCATCTGCAAGAGGCAATTGATGACGAGGAGGAGTTGCATCTGAAAACCAGCACTTGGGAGGTAGTGTTCCCTCTCTTCTCTCCAGTGACACAGCCTCTTGCATCATCATTGCTGAGTGGATGATTGTGCTGGGGACACATGGCAGCAAGGTGCATTTGCTGGATTACCAGGGAAACCAAGTGAGTGTCTTGGAGTGTTGCCCTATTTGAATACTATGAGGTTTATTGGTTTTAGCCCCTTTATAGAGGTTTAGGCCTTTTATTTGGGACCGAAGTGAAGAATTATATATTAAGTTATAGTGTTTTCCCTTGGAGTCTTGAATTAAAAGATGCATTCAAGGCTTAGGAGTTAGAGGGCCCTGTGAATAAATTTTGTTATACTATAAGATGTTAAAAACTTTGAGGTTTAGTGTGTTGGGTTGTTTGTGCCTACAGGGAGTGTAAAACCTTAAGTTTAGTCTAACTCTAGAAGGGGGAATTGAGAAAGAATTTGGGAATTCATGAAGAGGTTTAATTATCCAAGGCTCAATGTGATGCTTTAGAAGGACAAATGGCTCACAAAAATACTCTACTAGAGACCTTTATCCATAAGTTAATGTGTAATAAGAAATAAACGAAAAGGTAAAAGATTGTGAATGCAGATAGTGCAAAAGGTATTGAGACAGAACTAAAAAAGGTTGAGCAAACCAAGTTGGAGTCTGTCTCATATTCTAAGGTATGAACCAAAGCATTCACCAATCTTTAAAAAAGTGAATGATTATAAGGTAGTGGAGGATTGGTTCTATGATATAGAGGATTACTTCTGAGTGTTTTGGTTACGAAGCTTGAAAAAGGTCCCATGTGCAAAATTATATTTAGCGGTTAATGCTAAATTTTAGTGGAGAACCATAGAGATTAACAAAGGTCCAGTGGTTACTTAGAAAGTGATGAAGGCAAGGATTAAAGCAATTTATGTACCCCAAATTCTACATCTAAAGAATAAATTAAGTATGCTTAAGTAAATTAGGACCATTCAAGAGTATATAAATGCATTTATGGCTAAAAGGATCATTATTATAGATATAGGGGACATAGATGTATTCTATGTGTTTATCTTGGGATTGCAGACTTAGGCTCGGGTTGAGGTGGTATGCTTGAACTCGACCAATTATAAGGAAGTATTAGATATGTCTATCAAGATGTATTTTAATGATATTCTATGAAAAAAAAACACAATTAAGTCTAGATCCATATTTAGCAAGAGATCCAAACCAAGAAGGATGTATGAAAAAAGGAAATTCAAAAGAAGTTTCTCTATAATGAGTTATTGGGGTTTTGAAAAAGTAGATTAAGTGGAAGCATATGGGGGAGTTAAGCCAAAAACAACAAACCTACCAATAAAAAGATTAAGTTGTTAATAGAATGGAGAACAATATATATTTCAATTGTGGTGAAGTTGGACACTTCTCAAGAGAATGTCCTTACGCAAAAAAGGCCAAGTCAACATGAACATTAAGTCGGGTGAAGTCCAAACCATGCTTTGTACAACTTTGTAGCTATAGACATAGTTTGACAAATTGGATTAATGGTATATGGTTAGGAGAATTAAGAACTATAGAGTTCATTCAAGGTATTCAAAACACTGATGAGGTATTTTGATAAACAAAAGTCAAAGTAAGGATATAAAAAGTGAACATTAATTTCACCATTTTGGATATAGTAGGATTTGATATGATCTTTGGGATGGATTAATTCAATTAGTTTATGGTAGATTTGCATGGATAACGGGGAAATCTAGTGGTATTAGTGAGTGCCTAAGGAGAACAATCTAAGGTGGAGGTCTAAGATCCTAAAAACTTTTACTTAAACATGGTGTCCACGAGAGGATTAAATGAACCAAAGTAACATTTTTGTGCTTACTCTTTATGAAGAGTGAAAAAAACAAAGGAAATGTTTTTAATGATTTAGCAAGTGTTAAACCAATTTGAAGATACCATGCTAAAGAATTACTAGTGGAATTACCCTCTACTTGAATGATAGAAAACAAGATCAAGTTGATTGAGGGTGCTAAGGCAATGGTTTGTCCTCTTTATTGGTTAAATGAAAAAGAACTTGAAGAGCTTAAATGTGTAAGCAACCAAAGGGAACGACTTGAGAGACGATCCATAGGGTTTAAATATAGAGGGAAAAAAGGCCCATGAATAAAAATGCACCCCCTTTTCCAATCGGTTAAGGGTTTTGCAATACTTAGGGTTAAGCATCCTTGGGTTTAAACAGTACTGGGTTGGGTGACCTCTTGGGAAATCTAAACTCATGAGCTTACATTTGGTATCGGAGCAGTCTCAGGTCTGATTTTGTTGGTTGGCTAGGGAAATCACACCACATATATATTGACATCAATTTGCTCCCGCTGGGCTAGACCCGAGGGGTAGGGTGTCAAGCGAGCGGGGCTCTCTGGAGAGCTGTGCTCTCAACTTCCGTTCACAAGGGCGTCTGGCTGGTCCAATTTGCTCCCGTTAGGCTTGACCCGAGGGGTAGAGTGTCAAGAGAGTGGGGCTCTCTGGAGAGCTGCAGCTTTTAGTTTCCATTCACGAGGGCGTTGTAAGCCACAAATTTTTCTTTTCCAATTTGCCAGCTTACCTTGTCTATCCGACCAACTCTGCCTGGGCTTTAGTTAAGTTCCCTCGCCAAGGTTCCCACCTATAGTACCAGCTCCTACTTGGTTCTACTTGGTTTTAGCTACTCACTACATGAACAACAGAGCGTTAGCCATCCATCCAGGGATTCCCAAATCACTCTCAATCCCCCTCCCCGGGTTAGATTAGTCATAAGATTCGGCTACACTTCATGTAGGCACAAACAGCCAAGCACACCAAGCCTCCAGGTTCCTACCATCCCTTGGTACCACAAGACTTGATCATGGGACCCTTTAAATCCCGAGTCTTGGGTGCAACACATGCTTCGGGACGCTGGGGCGAAACACCGTGGCCTAACGGCCAAGTATGGGTACCTCTACCCCCCCACTTCCATCCCAAAGGGAAGGTCCAAGCCCCTAGGAAGGGCGAGGACCAATGAGCCACAAGGTACTCAAGTGGGGCACCACTCCACATAAGCCGAGAGCACCGCAGTCAATTTCCCTTTCGGGAGTGGGAGCTGCTCTTGAGCACTTCTTTGGGTGGCCCCTCCGGCACCAACCAAGACCATGCTCACTCCCACCCAAGGCCCCTCAGCCCCAGTCTCAACCTTAAGTCAATTTGGAAGCACCACTGGAGAGTTCATTCAAGATTGGTTCCTTGACCTCACTATCCCTACTATACTTTTGGAACCCCCCGCAGCCCCCCCCCCCCCTAGGAGACGCATGCTTTGGGCTTTCACCCCTTGACCCGTATTAGTATTTGGACTCGGTCTCAGGCTCGATCTCGAACTCAATCTCGAATCCGACTTCAGACTCGGTCTCGGACTCGATCTTGGACTCGATCTTGGACCCGATCTCGGACTCGACTTTGGACTCGACCTCGGACTCGGTCTCGGACCTGATCTCGGATCTCGGACTCTGTCTTGAACTTGGTCTCGAACTCAGTCTCCGAGTCGGCCTCGGACTTGATCCCGGACTCTATCTCAAACTTGGTCTTAGAGTCGGTCTTGGACTTGATCTCAAACTCGGTCCCATCCGATGAACTCTTTGTCATTTTGGTCATGCTTTCGGGGATCCTTTAGCCTACGTCACCTCGGGGAGTTGGTTCTTTACAGGCGTGAACTTGCAGGGAAGTGTGGTGAATTGTAAGCAACCAAAAGGAACGACTTGAGAGATGATCCATGGGGTTCAAATATAGAGGAAAAAAGGGCCTATGAATAAGAGTGTACCCCCTTTTCCAATCGGTTAAGGGTCTTGGGATATTTGGGGTTAAGTGTCCTTGGGTTTGAATAGTATTGGGTTGGGTGACCTCCCAGGAAGTCAAAACTCAGGAGTTTACAAAATGTTAACTCAAGAA